TACGAGCCACAGCCCGGCTGATCAGGAACTGACTTTAGGTGCTTGTCCAGTGCCAGCTTGAAGACTGCCAGGGGTCTGTTGGTAATCCCCCTTATGTGTGCTGGGAGGCAGTTGAACAGTCTCGGGCCCCTGACACTTATTGTATGGTCTCTTAACGTGCTAGTAACACCCCTGCTTTTCATTGGGGGGATGGTGCATCGTCTGCCAAGTCTTTTGCTTTCGTAGTGAGTGATTTTCGTGTGCAAGTTCGGTACTAGTCCCTCTAGGATTTCCAGGTGTATATAATCATGTATCTCTCCCTCCTGCGTTCCAGGGAATACAGGTTTAGAAACCTCAAGCGCTCCCAGTAATTGAGGTGTTTTATCTCCGTTATGCGCGCCGTGAAAGTTCTCTGTACATTTTCTAGGTCGGCAATTTCACCTGCCTTGAAAGGTGCTGTTAGAGTGCAGCAATATTCCAGCCTAGATAGAACAAGTGACCTGAAGAGTGTCATCATGGGCTTGGCCTCCCTAGTTTTGAAGGTTCTCATTATCCATCCTGTCATTTTTCTAGCAGATGCGATTGATACAATGTTATGGTCCTTGAAGGTGAGATCCTCCGACATAATCACTCCCAGGTCTTTGACGTTGGTGTTTCGCTCTATTTGTGGCCAGAATTTGTTTTGTACTCTGATGAAGATTTAATTTCCTCATGTTACCATATCTGAGTAATTGAAATTTCTCATCGTTGAACTTCATATTGTTTTCTGCAGCCCACTGAAAGATTTGGTTGATGTCCGCCTGGAGCCTTGCAGTGTCTGCAATGGAAGACACTGTCATGCAGATTCGGGTGTCATCTGCAAAGGAAGACACGGTGCTGTGGCTGACATCCTTGTCTATGTCGGATATGAGGATGAGGAACAAGATGGGAGCTAGTACTGTGCCTTGTGGAACAGAGCTTTCACCGTAGCTGCCTCGGACTTTACTCTGTTGACGACTACTCTCTGTGTTCTGTTAGTGAGGAAATTATAGATCCATCGACCGACTTTTCCTGTTATTCCTTTAGCGCGCATTTTGTGCGCTATTACGCCATGGTCACACTTGTCGAAGGCTTTTGCAAAGTCTGTATATATTACATCTGCATTCTTTTTGTCTTCTAGTGCATTTAGGACCTTGTCGTAGTGATCCAGTAGTTGAGACAGACAGGAGCGACCTGTTCTAAACCCATGTTGCCCTGGGTTGTGTAACTGATGGGTTTCTAGATGGGTGGTGATCTTGCTTCTTAGGACCCTTTCAAAGATTTTTATGATATGGGAATGTTAGTGCTATTGGTCTGTAGTTCTTTGCTGTTGCTTTACTGCCCCCTTTGTGGAGTGGGGCTATGTCTGTTGTTTTAGTAACTGAGGGACGACCCCGTGTCCATGCTCCCTCTCCATAGGATGGAAAAGGCTCGTGATAGGGGCTTCTTGCAGTTCTTGATGAACACAGAGTTTCCACGAGTCTGGCCCTGGGGCAGAGTGCATGGGCATGTCATTTATCGCCTGTTCGAAGTCATTTGGCGTCAGGATAACATCGGATAGGCTTGTGTTAATCAAATTTGTGGCTCTCTCATAAAAATTCATTTTGATCTTCGACTCTCAGTCTGGTTAGCGGCTTGCTAAAAACTGAGTCATATTGGGGACTTGAGTAGCTCACATAGAATCTTCATTTCCTTGTTGTCATCTGTGTAGGACCCATCTTGTTTAAGTAGGGGCCCAATACTGGACGTTGTTCTCGATTTTGATTTGGCATAGGAGAAGAAATACTTTTGGGTTTCTCTTCGATTTCATTTATGGCTTTTAGTTCTTCCCGCGATTCCTGACTCCTAAAGGATTCTTTTAGCTTAAGTTCGATGCTTGCTATTTCTCTGACCAGTGTCTCCCTGCGCATTTCAGATATATGACCTCTTTTAGCCGCTCTGTTATTCTTTTCCGTCGCCTGTAAAGGGAGCGCCTGTCTCTTTCTATTTTACATCTACTCCTCCTTTTTCTTAGAGGAATAAGCCTTGTGCATACATCGAGTGCCACCGAGTTAATCTGTTCTAGGCATAAGTTTGGGTCTGTGTTGCTTAGTATATCTTCCCAGCTTATATCGGTTAGGACTTGGTTTACTTGGTCCCACTTTATGTTTTTGTTATTGAAGTTGAAATTTGGTGAATGCTCCCTCGTGACTAGTCTCATTTTGTCGGTCTGGGGCTCCACGCATACATGTCTGGACCTCAATTATGTTGTGATCTGAGTATATTGTTTTTTGATATGTGACATTCTTATCAGATCATCATTGTTAGTGAAGATGAGGTCTAGTGTATTCTCCAGTCTAGTAGCTCTATTATTTGCTGGTTTAAATTGAATTTTGTGCAGAGATTTAAAAGCTCGTGTGAGTGTGAGTTTTCATCAGAGCTGCCTCCTGGTGTTATTACTCCAACAATATTATTTGCTATATTCCTCCATTTTAGGTCTTAAGTTTGAAATCCCCCAGGAGCAAGATGTTGGGTGCAGGAGCTGGAAGATTTTCCAGACAGTGTCATTTTTAACAGCTGTTCCTGGAATTGCTGGGATGTTGCATCCGAGGCTTGTAGACTACCACAATGACTAGGTTTTGGTTCTCGACCTTTACTGCTAAAACTTCCACTACGTCATTTGAGGCATTAGCAGTTCTGTGCAAACAAGTGACTCTGCAATGTAAAAGGCCAACCCCCCCCCTTTTGCCTGTTCAATCTGTCACATTGTATAGGTTGTAACCTGGATCCATATTTTCGTTGTCCAAGTGATCCTTTATGTGGGTCTCAGTGAAAGCCGCGAACATTGCCCTTTGCCTCTGCAAGCAGTCCACGGATGAAAGGTATTTTGTTGTTTGTTGCTGGCTTTAGACCCTGTATATTTGCAAAGAAGAATGTTATCGGACTGGTGGTATTGTTTGGTACTGGGGGGATTTTTTTTCCGGCATTAGTATCTGTATCTGTTGGTTTGGAGTGGAGGCCATCGACTGTGGTTCCACTCCAGGAATGACTGATTTGGTGTACGATTTCTGCCATTTCCTGCCAGTTTTTTTTCCTTCCTGGCACTAAAAAAACCCCTCCTCTTGAGTGGCTGTGGCTACCCAGATTTCCCATGGCCTGGATGTTTTGTATCTTTTGTCCCTTTAGATGGTATGCCTGGCAATTTAAGTTATAGCACAGTCTTTCCTGTACTGAAGAGGTCACATTTCAGGGTGAAAAAGCTTACAGGAAGGGAGTTTTGCATTTTCCTGTTGTCATATGGCATGACATTTTCTAGGGTGGTCATAGTTGCATGTCCCATCTGTTTTTCCAGATTTCCCATGCCAGCAGATACCAAGTGCATAGTATGAGCACAGGCTTGGTTTCCGTTTGCCTTGGGTTTCTGTGACTGTATTCCCTGTTGGTGCGTGTTTCCCTGTCTTACTCCTATCCTCCCTAGCACCAACAATGGAGCTCCCACCAGTTGTTTTTGGTAATTTATCCTCACTATTGCTATTGGAGTCCTCTTGTTTGCTATTTCCTGCGGTATTTCTAGTTTGCAATATTGGTTTTATCTTATCTTTGACTACACTTGTTTCCCTACTATGGTGTCGTGGGGATTTATTTTATTTATTTATTTATTTTATTTATTTAGTAATTTTAGCATACATACAGAGGTACAAAAAATACAGGTAAGAGCAGCATGCCAAAGCCACTTATATGCATAGCATTACGGCTGCTTAAAATTAACTTAAGTTTAACTAAGCAGTGATGAAATCAGTGATAAAACATTATTGTAAACAGATAACTATAAAGCACAAATGAGTATTACAAAGACAGGTCATATGGTTGCATGCATTGCTGTACATTCAGTAGAATGGAGTATTCTGTTAGGTAGTGTATTTAAAAAAATAACAAAGTTAGATTGGTCCTAGGTTTAACTTTGTGTGATATAATTGTGAGTAACATATAGGATATACAATTTATAAGGTTCAGTTTATTCCAGTATTTATTTGGTTTTGAGTGAGTAAGTGATCTTTGAGAAGAGACTTGAATTATAAACAGGTAGTGTTTCTTTTATATTTACAGGTAATGAATTCAGATTTTAGGGCCTTTTATGTGCATTGAGTTTTTGCATAGCGTGAGATGACACGAGAACATCAAAGAGTGATCTGTGCCTTGGTTATGGTCATTGTTCTGTTGAGGTTGGAAAGGAGATGTTGAGGGGAGGGTTAATATCAGGTATAGTGTTCTATGTATGTAATAGGTGCAGTAATAAGTATGGATGTTTTGTATGGTGAGTAGATTTAGAGTTTTGAATATTGGTGGAGTGTGCTGCCTTAAGTGAGAATTTGTTATCATTCTAACTGCATCCTTTTGTTGGGTAATTAGTGGTCTTGAGATGGTTAATTGTTGTTGAGGAGCCCCATGCACAAATTCCATAGGTGAGATAGGGGTAAATAAGAGAGTGATAAAGGGCCAGAGGGGCTGACTGTGGAACATAGTACCGTATCTTCGATAGTATGCCTACAGTCTTGGAAATTTTTTCTTAGAAATTTGTTGTATATGTGTAGAAATTTGAGCTAATTATCAGTGGATTCCTAAGAATTTTCCCTCTGTTAGCTTTGTGATAGGTGATCTGTTTATCGTTATGTTAAGAGGTACATCTGTAGCTCTGTTACCAAACTGAATGAAGTAGGTTTTGTCAATGTTTAGTGTAAGTTTGTTAGTCCTCATCCAGGTAGATATTTTCTGTAATTCGGTGTTTACAGTATTGGCTAGCGTGACTGGGCTCGGGTGAGAGAAGACGTATGTAGTGTCATCTGCAAAAAGTGTGTGTTTGAGTAATTGCGAAGCATTTGGTAGGTCATTTATGTATAGGAGAAAGAGAAGAGGGCTGCCTGCAAACGCCTGAGGAGACAAGTTTGGCATCCTTTTACGACATTACGTAATGACTCCTATGGGTTTAGCACTTCCCTATGCATAAAATAATGTAGTACACTGACCTGGACAGCAGCCTGCTCAGTGTAGGCCTCTGTCTCCACTGTCAGCCTCAGCATCTCCGCCACACACACCTTCAGGAATGAACAAAACATTAGCAATCTACTCAACAGTAGTCTCAGTAAATTTATTTAGGCACAGGTACACGTAGTACAGTTACCATACAAAGTGTAAATTACTTAGGATAACCCACTACAAGTAACATTGGAGAATAATATTGTAAATTGTGTGATACCAGCATAACCTGCTTGACAATTAAATGTTGAGGCTCAGTCCCTGGGGCCCATTATGTGCCTCTCATCGTTTATTGGGCAACCTTTCAGAGGATAAGGTACGGAATGACTACCTGGTGCAGATCACCTCACTTCCTGACCATCCCCAGACTGAAGGAAACTTTCTAACCTGTGTGTGGGTAGGGAGAGGGGGAATTATTTTATTTATACGAAACGATGAACCCATATGTGTCATTCAGCACTAAGTGGAGGCTCGGTCCTCCGTCTTGTAACCGTGACACACACGCTACTCTTGTATCCCGGCTTTCCTGCAAACAAACTGCATCACATACAGGTTTAGTGCTATTTTTCCAATAATAATAAATCGTGTAGGTGAAAATGAAATGTGAATGGTGTGTGTGTTTGGGTCTGACCTGGTCCTGGGCCACGTCCTGCTTGGTCTGCAGCTCCTGCTCCAGACGTTGTTTCTTGAGGACCAGGCTGAAGTAGCAGGTCCTGGCCTGCCTCACCTGCTCCTCCACCTTTTGCCGCCGAGTCAGCAATTTCTCCACCATCTGTTGGCGCATCAAACCTCCATCACTCCTCCAATACTTCCACCTCCACCACTACCATCACTCCACTTCGAAGTATCTAGCTCACTCAGTATTTTCTTTACTACAACACTTGCACAGACTATATTTCTATAAAGTGGAGTACAGTATATTATAGTTAGAGTGATTAACATACGTATATAACTACTTTATATATAGCCCCTTGTTATGCCAAGTACTTCTTTAGAGTTATTACCTGGTTCTTCACTGTTATCTTACTTCTGATATGAGTATACAACAGATTTTCGATGTGTGTATACGTACTCACCTATTTGTACTCACCTATTTGTGGTTGCAGGGGTCGAGTCCTAGCTCCTGGCCCCGCCTCTTCACCGATTGTACTTGTGTGGTGCTCGTACATGGGTGACTCTGTACGTGTGGTGCTCGTGCATGGATGACTATACGCGTGGTGTTTGTGATTATGTGATTGTGTGTGTGGTGTTTGTGCACGTGGTGTGTACATGTGTGATAGTGGGTGTGTGTATGTGTGCGCGAGTGATTGTACTCGTGTGTGTGGTGACTGGATGTGTGTGTGTGTGTCTGTGTGTGTGTACACTCACCTAACTGTGGTTACAGGGGTCGATTCATAGCTCCTGGTCCCGTGAGTGTGTACATACCTTCGTCCTGTGTTTTTCAGGTGGGAAGGGCGAGAAGCTGTGTTCTGCCAGTTGGCGCTGCATCTCAATCATGTTATCCACTTGCTTCTTCGCCTGCACAATAATAATAATAATAATAATAATAATAATAATAATAATAATAATAATAATAATAATAATAATAATCTATTAATAAAAATAGTAGTAGTACAACAATAATAATGATAATATATTAATAAAAATAGTAGTAGTAGTAGCAGTATTAATAATAATAATAATAATAATAATAATAATAATAATTGAACTATGTGTAGAAAGAGATTTGGTAATAAGTAATACATATTTTATGAAAAAGAGGATAAATAAATATATAAGGTATGATGTAGCACGTAATGAAAGTAGTTTATTAGATTATGTATTGGTGGATAAAAGGTTGATGGGTAGGCTCCAGGATGTACATGTTTATAGAGGGGCAACTGATATATCGGATCATTATTTAGTTGTAGCTACAGTTAGAGTAAGAGGTAGATGGGAAAAGAGGAAGGTGGCAACAACAAGTAAGAGGGAGGTGAAAGTGAATAAACTAAGGGAGGAGGAAGTTCGGGCGAGATATAAGCGACTATTGGCAGAAAGGTGTGCTAGTGCGAAGATGAGTAGTGGGGGGGGGGTTGAAGAGGGTTGGAATAGTTATAAAAATGCAGTATTAGAATTTGGGGCAGAAGTTTGTTGGTTTGCGTGCAGCCAGCAGCAACAGCCTGGTTGATCAGGCTCCGATCCACCAGGAGGCCTGGTCACAGACTGGGCCGCGGGGGCGTTGACCCCCGGAACTCTCTCCAGGTAATAGGAGGGTGAGGGCAGGAGGAAAGAGGAGTGATTGGTGGAATGATGAAGTAAAGGGTGTGATAAAAGAGAAAAAGGTAGCTTATGAGAGGTATTTACAAAGCAGAAGTGTTATAAGAAAACAAGTATATGGAGAGTAAAAGAAAAGGTAAAGAGAGTGGTGAGAGAGTGCAAAAGGAGAGCAGATGTAGAGTGGAAGAGGCACTGTCAAGAAATTTTAATGAAAATAAGAAAATTTTTGGAGTGAGTTAACAAGTTAAGAAAGCCTAGGGAAAGTATGGATTTGTCAGTTAAAAACAGAGTAGGATTTAGTAATGGGGAGATGGAGTATTAGGTAGATGGCGAGAATATTTTGAGGAACTTTTAAATGTTAAGGAAGAAGAGAGGCAGTAATTTCATGCACTGGTCAGGGAGGTATACCATCTTTTAGGAGTGAATGAAGAGCAGAATGTAATTGTGGGGAGGTACGTGAGGCATTACTAAAATGAAAGGGGTAAAGCAGCTGGAACTGATGGGATCATGACAGAAATGTTAAAAGCAAGGGGGATATAGTGTTGGAGTGGTTGGTACTTTTGTTTAATAAATGTATGAAAGAGGGGAAGGTACCTAGGGATTGGCGGAGAGCATGTATAGTCCCTTTATATAAAGGGAAAGGGGACAAAAGAGACTGTAAAAATTATAGAGGAATAAGTTTACTGCGTATACCAGGAAAAGTGTACGGTAGGGGTTATAATGAAAGAATTAGAGGTAAGACAGAATGTAGGATTGCGGATGAGCAAGGAGGTTTCAGAGTGGGTAGGGGATGTGTAGATCAAGTGTTTACATTGAAGCATATATGTGAACAGTATTTAGATAAAGTAGGGAAGTTTTATTGCATTTATGGATTTAGAAAAGGCATATGATAGAGTGGATAGAGGAGCAATGTGGCAGATGTTGCAAGTATATGGAATAGGTGGTAAGTTATCAAATGCTGTAAAGAGTTTTCATGAGGATAGTGAGGCTCAGGTTAGGGTGTGTAGAAGAGAGGGAGATTACTTCCCGGTAAAAGTAGGTCTTAGACAGGGATGTGTAATGTCACCATGGTTGTTTAATATATTTATATAGATGGGATTGTAAAGGAAGTAAATGCTAGGGTGTTCGGGAGAGGGGTGGGATTAAATTTTGGGGAATCAAATTCAAAATGGGAATTGACACAGTTACTTTTTGCTGATTATACTGTGCTTATGGGAGATTCTAAAGAAAAATTGCGAAGGTTAGTGGATGAGTTTGGGAATGTGTGTAAAGGTAGAAAGTTGAAAGTGAACATAGAAAAGAGTAAGGTGATGAGGGTATCAAATGATTTAGATAAAGAAAAATTGGATATCAAATTGGGGAGGAGGAGTATGGAAGAAGTGAATGTTTTTCAGATACTTGGAGTTTGACGTGTCGGCGGATGGATTTATGAAGGATGAGGTTAATCATAGAATTGATGAGGGAAAAAAAGGTGAGTGGTGCGTTGAGGTATATGTGGAGTCAAAAAAACGTTATCTATGGAGGCAAAGAAGGGAATGTATGAAAGTAAGTAGTACCAACGCTCTTATATGGGTGTGAAGCTTGGGTGGTCAATGCAGCAGCAGGAGGAAACGGTTGGAGGCAGTGGAGATGTCCTGTTTAAGGCAATGTGTGGTGTAAATATTATGCAGAAAATTCGGAGTGTGGAAATTAGGAAAAGGTGTGGAGTTAATAAAAGTATTAGTCAGAGGGCAGAAGAGGGTTGTTGAGGTGGTTTGGTCATTTAGAGAGAATGGATCAAAGTAGAATGACATGGAAAGCATATAAATCTATAGGGGAAGGAAGGCGGGGGTAGGAGTCGTCCTCGAAAGGGTTGGAGAGAGGGGGTAAAGGAGGTTTTGTGGGCAAGGGGCTTGGACTTCCAGCAAGCGTGCGTGAGCGTGTTAGATAGGAGTGAATGGAGACGAATGATACTTGGGACCTGACGATCTGTTGGAGTGTGAGCAGGGTAATATTTAGTGAAGGGATTCAGGGAAACTGGTTATTTTCATATAGTTGGACTTGAGTCCTGGAAATGGGAAGTACAATGCCTGCACTTTAAAGGAGGGGTTTGGGATATTGGCAGTTTGGAGGGATATGTTGTGTATCTTTATATGTGTAAGCTTCTAGACTGTTGTATTCTGAGCACCTCTGCAAAAACAGTGATAATGTGTGAGTGTGGTGAAAGTGTTGAATGATGAAAGTATTTTCTTTTTGGGGATTTTCTTTCTTTTTTGGGTCACCTTGCCTCGGTGGGAGACGGCCGACTTGTTGAAAAAAAAAATAATAATAGACAGCCTATCTGTTGTCAGAGCTACTATTGTTGTCTTATGGTAATAGATTATGAAGTGCTCTTGATCCACTGGAGCTACCCTCCCCTTCCTTGGCTCAAACCTCCTTACCTCCATTTCCCTCACGAGTCTAAGCTCTTCCTCCTGAATATAATAATGTTGAATTATTTATATTATTATTATTGTTATTGTTACTATCATTGATGTAAGAGAAGCGCTAGTCATGTGTCATGTAGCACTTGGTGATTGAAGGTTTGATCCAAGGAAGAGAGAGAGGATAGGTTCGCTCATTGGATCAAGACCCCTCAAAGGGGGTTCCTTGATGTTGATGAGGGACTCTTGATCTAGGAAATTGGATCTATGCTCCAATTCCCTGAATTAAGCCTGAATGCCTTCCATCTTCCTCTTCAAGCGATGTATATAATCCCTACGGGTTTAGCGCCCCTATGATAATAATTTGATCAAGAGTCACCCACCTTGCAAGGCATTGACTGACCTGAGTCTCAGCGTTGGCAGCGTTGGTGCGAGCCTGGTCCAGGAGTAGTTGGTACTTGAGGTTGTGTGCTGACAAGGTCATGGTCCTCCTCCACAGTGCCTGCGGGCCTTCACTGCAGCTTCTCCCACTCCACATCCTCCACCGAATTGATTTGTCCCCCTCCCATCCTCCACCACCTCCTCGCCACCACCCTCACCCTCCAGGAGATACACAGTCGTTACACAGTTTAAATAAACCAGTATTTAAATTGTACTTTACGTCAGGTAATGAAAATAACACCAGTGTTCATCCTGACGCTGGAGGCCAACGATGGGTATGGAAACACAGCAGAGAGGAGTTCAAATTCAAATCAAATTCAAGTTTATTCTCTATAAGGGATTAACAATTCTGAGTTTTACTGGAATGGGTTATTGTGTGATTTACATGTAGTTAAAAAATAATTACAGAGTGTACCACTAAACACCTAGCATGGAAAGCCATTCGGGCAGACTTATATTAATCTTAGAACTTAAAATATTAACAAATTATGAGGTAAGTTGGAATTATGGCTAAGTGACGTAATACTAGTTTGGTGAGGTTTATCAAAGTGATGCTTTTGTTTATTGGTCAACAATACATAGTTTCAGTATTGAGAATCACCAGGCCAACTTATGACTAGTTAGGATTCATTATATTAAGTTGAGATTTGATATATTTCGTTATGGTCAAATGGGAGAGTGAGTGTAAGTGTGAAACCACCAGGTGGTATTCGAGTGTAGTTAGTTGATGGGTGTAATCAGGAGATAAGATGTGTTTTTCTAATGGAATTTTGGTGATGAATGGTGTTTGCAGTTTCAGAGTTTCAGGTAGGGTGTTCCAGATTTTAGGGCTTTGGACATACATGTATTTTTGTGAAGTTAGTCGTGACACGGAATGTCATATAGATGTTTGTGTCTGTGGTAATTCCTGTGGGTTCGTCACAACTATCAAGAACGCATTTTAGTCAAGTTTAATACTGGAATTTAGGTCCTGTAGATGTAGATTGCACAGTAGTAATGTGGGATGTACTGAACAGGAGAAGTTTGATCTATGAAGAGTGGTGGGGTGTGATTGCCAGGATGGAAGTAGTGATTATTCTTACTGTCACTTTTTGTTGGGTTATTATTGTCCTTTATGTGTTTGCTGCAGTTGAACCCCAAGCCACAGATAGCATAGGTGAGGTATGAATAAATAAGTGAATAGTATAGTGTGAGAAGGGCAGTTGTGCACGTGTATCGTATCCTGAGAGGAAAAAACACCCAACCGTTTTGGATACTTTTAGTTATGTGTTGGATAGGGAGCTGAAATTCCAGGTTGTTGTCGGGTATAGGCCTAGGAATTTGCCCTCATTATGTCTGGCAATTATAGTGTGTCGATCTTAATGTAATTTTGCGCAACTCCCTGCTCTGCTTACCAAACATAGTGTAGTAGTTGTAGTCAGGTTAAGCGTAAGTTTATTGCTGTCAATCCAAGTCGATATTTTGATCAGCTCCTCGTTAACATGGTGTTGAGGGTGGAAGATTAGTGGGTGATAGATGACATAAGTCTGTCAGTCAGCAAAGAGAATGGGATCAGGTGTTGAGATACGTTGAAGATCATTGAAGTAATATGAGTAAGAGCAGGGGACCAAGGACACTTCCTTCGGAACTCCAGTATCAAGTGGCCGTGATGTTTGATGCTGTTGTCCTTAGATTGTGACATACTGAACCTATTAGTAAAGGTATGTTTGGATAAATTATGAAGCGCATGGCCCTCTTATACCATAATGGTCGAGTTTTGTGGAGTATGATGCCGTGGTCAACTGTGTCAAAAGCTTTCTTAGGTCAATAAAAACTCCTAGTGGATATTCCTTATATTCCAATGCTGTGTAAAGCAGATCTAGCATTTTTATGATTGCATTGTTAGTGCTTTTATTTTTTCTGAATCCAAATTGCAGGGGTTTTGAGTATGTTTTGTGCTGTTTAAATTAATATAGTCCTCCTGGTGCACGAAGTTTCTTCAAAGATTTTGGGATAGCAATGGCAAGTTTGATATTGGCCTATAGTTGTTTAATCTGTAGGGTCACCACCTTATGGAATTGTGTAACCCTTGCCATCCTTGATTGGGGAGGGTTGGGAAGGTTCTTGTGACTTGTTTAAAAGTAAATGAAAATAGAAATGGTGAAAGACATGGTCCGCTCGCTGTACAATAATGGTGGGACATGAGACAGATCCCTGAGTTATTTTTTAAGTGACTTTACAACTCGTACTTCCGTGGGCTCAGTTGGTGCAAAGATAGAAGGAATTTGCGAAATTCCCATCTAGGTAGTCCCCGGCATGGCATTGGTACGAGGGATTTTATGGCGATATTAATCCTATGGTTGATAATTCGTTTATCTTGTTCGCTGTGTCAGTGGGATGCAGTGCGTTTCATTAGGTTTAGTTAGGACAAATATTCTTGGGTTTTTTCCAGGTTTTTGGTCCCTAGAACTGAGAAGAGTGTTTTCCAGGTATTTTTATATCTCCCTCTTGTGTCCAGTGAATCTACTGAGTAGTATAGTATGTTTTGGCCTTTCCTTTATTACATTGGTGAGAACTGATGAAAAGTTGTTTAAAGAATATCTTTGTGTATTAATCCCTGTCTATATTGCTTTTCAATTGGTGTTTCTTATCAATGGATTTCAAGAATGAGCCGTGTTAGCCATGGCAACCAAGCCTTTTGTTGTGATCTTTTTCGTTTTTATAGGACAATGTTTGTTGCATAGTCTAATTATTTTGTTAAAAAAATGTCTTGTCAGTCCATCATACCAATTGGCCTTTGGAGAATCTGTAGGCCATCAACAGTCCTAGGTCATCTGTGAACTTCTTATTGAGGCCCTCGTCATGGAGGTCCAAATGAAAACTTGTTGTATTCAAGCGGTGGTTAACTAATTTTTGTCAAGAGGAAGGTAGGGTAAGTGTCTGTAGTGCTATCTGTGATTATCCTGATTAAGTGGGGCTAGTATATGGGTCCATATGTGGTCTATTATGGTTGCACTTGTCTCAGTGAGCCTGGTTGGTTTATTTTATTTGTTGTTATGAGAAGATGTGTTCCAAAATGTTGATAGAAATCCTGTTACCAGGCTGATCATCTATTAGCCAAGGTTGAAATTGAAGTCTCCAGCTAAGAGAAGGTGGTGCTTATTCATTTGTCTGTTTGTTAATAAGCCTTTAATTCTCACTGAAATTTGGATGTTTGTGTGGTATCCGGTGCAGCTGCCCAGTGCAAACACCTGGGGAAGAGACCACATGTTCGAGACCTGATATCTATATTCCATAAAGATATCTAGGTGTTGCACATGTGTCTTCATCACTACTTGATCTTGTATACCGTCAATGTAATGATCCGGATCATACGTTTGCCAGGAAGAGAAGTGAGCAATGAACGGGCGTTTGGGGCAGCTGGTGTAAATTACTGGCTAGACAAGTACTGCTACAACTTATTATGCTCGTCGAGATCATTTGTTTCAGTTTATTATGGAATGTTACGTGCTTCTCTTTACCTGCGATCTACCTGTGTTTACCTGTGATCTATCTGTTTACCTGTTATCTGTCTGTGTTTACGTGTGATCTACATGTGTTTATCTGTAATATACTTGTGTCTACCTGTGATTTAGGTGTATTTACCTCTAATCTATTTGTATTTACCTGTGATATATGACATTTACCTGTAACCTATTTGTATTTACCTGTGATCTATCTGCATTTACCTGTGATATACCTGTGTTTGCCTTTGATCTATCTGTGTTTGCCTGTGATCTACCTGTGTAATATGGGTGAAGTGGTGCGCTCACCTGCCTACGGCGTCTCAGGCTGGTCCAGACTCTCAGCTCAGCTTTGCGGTGCATCCTGGCCAGGCGGTTCCTCTCTCGGTATAGCCGTATAACTTCCTGTACCGTCCGCACCGGGTCCACCCCAACACCTGCGATCACATGTACCCCTAACCATAACAGCTTGTGCTGGGGGGGGGCAGGGTGCTTGTGTGATGGGACTTCCCTTTGGTGATCTAAATACTCAGTGAATTAATATTTAATACCCGGGGTATTATCTTAATACCAGGGGTATTATCGTAATACTCGGGGTATTAACTTAATGTCTGGGTATCGTTTTCAGAGATTATCTGTTTTATACGAGAGTTGGGAAAGTGAAGAAATAAAACTCGTCGCAGAAAGAACACAGAGGCAGAACAACACACGGGGATCAGAAACACTCGTACACAATAGGTAAAACAAACACAGGCAACATAGCACAGGCACGCGAGCCTTTCGTTTCGTCGCTTATCTTCCATCTTTTATGTCTTGGTATTATGAGTGACGAAGCCATTCGTGGTGATACATATTCTCTAATAATGTTGGTAGAATCGCCGACAATATGTTAAGTAAAAGAACACAAGTGCAACTAATAAGACATATTACTGTGGCAACGTTGCAATTGTGTCCTGTTACCGATACGTGTCCTGTAATAAATGTCCAAAACTGTACATTACTAACTTCATCCACATCTTGTCGGTATTAACGTAATTTTTATAATTAAAATGCGTCTTACCTTGTGGGGTAGGGGAGGTGGATGTGTCTGTGGTAGGGGAGGGTTCCGTTGCAGGGGTGGGGGAGATGGTTGTGGCAGTGACAGGGAAGGTTGCAAGAGCGGTGGGGGAGGTAGCAATGGTAGTGGTGGAGTCCTCCTCTTCACTAGGCTTCAATGATACAGTGACATTTCCTTCCAGCTCAGGGGATTCGAGCGTGAATCTGGTGGGAGAGTTGCTGGAGGGTGACCCTACCAACACAGGTGACCCTGCCATCACAGGTGACCCCGCCATCCAGATGACCTGAAACACAAACATAACTATATGAACGCTGGGTGAGGGGAAGCGCTTCACTTGTAAGAAGCTCTCCTCTCATAAATAACACTAGGTTTCACTGGTAAGAAGCTCTCCTATAATACATAACACTAGGCTTCACTGGTAAGCAGCTCTCCTTACATACAACACTAGGTTTCACTGGAAAGAAGCTCTCCTCACATACATAATACTAGGCTTCACTAGTAAGCTCTCATCATATACATAACTAGGCTTCACTAGTAAGCTCGCCTCATATACATAACACTAGACTTCACTAGTGACAAGCTCTCATACATCACTATGCCTGTCATTACCACGAGAACGAAAGGAGGAATAAGACGCTTCTACCATACATGAGTCACAACAACGTTCCGGTCCCTCCTAGACCATTATCAAGGTACAATTCCCTGGAAGAGTTGTCCCTAACGTGGGTGAAGGGCTCTTGATCAAGTGATTTGGGAGCTACCCTCCCTTTCCTTGGATCAAGTTTGATTGCCTCCCACAAATGAGCTAGATAAAGGAATCCAGGACAGACAGGAAGGTCATGGGAGCAGCAAAAACAGCACTCAGGATGATGAGATATAAAGTAATAAGTAGGCCAGTTGCACTATACACACACACACACACACACACACACACACACACACACACACACACACCACACACACACCCCACACACACACACACACAAAACACACACGCACACACACACACACACCACACACACCACACACACACACACACACACACACACACACACACACACACACACCCAGGAATAATACGTATAAAATTTCAACCAAAGAGTTGTATATTTAGTTTTAATTATGTAACACTGGTTCATGATAAATTGTGTAACACTGGTTCATGATTGTGTAACACTGGTTCATGATAAATTGTGTAACACTGGTTCATGATAAATTGTGTAACACCGGTTCATGAAAAATTGTGTAACAGGGTTCATGTTAAATTGTTAACACGGGTTCATAAATAAATTGTGTAACACGGGTTCATGTTTGGGGGAAAAAAAAACACTGGTTCTTGATAAATTGTGAAAACACTGGTTCATGAAAAATTTGTGTAAAATGGTTCATGTTTTAAATTGGTAAAAAGGGTTCTGATAAATTGGGGTAACACTGGTTCATGTTTAAATTATTTTAACACTGGTTCTGAAAAATGGTGTAACATGGTTCATGATTGTTTTTAACACGGGTTCATAAAAAAATTTGTTAAAAGGTTCATGATAAATTTGTAAACGGGGTTCATAAATAAATTGTTAAACTGGTTCATAAAAAAATTTGGGTTAAAAACCCGGGTTTCATGAAAATTGTGTAAAAAAGGGTTCATGAAAAAATTATTTTTTAACCCGGGGCCCCATGTAAATTGTGTAACACGGGTTCATGATAAAATTGTGTAAAAATGGTTCATGAAAAAATTATGTAAAAATGGTTCATGAAAAAATGTGAACACGGGTTTTCATGATAAATTTTGAAAACATGGTTAATAAAAAAATTTTTGAAAACACGGGTTTCCCATAAAGAAATTATGTAACAGGGGTTCATGTTTAAATTGGGAACACTGGTTCATGTTTAAAATTTTTAAACACGGGTTCAGGAAAATTGGAAACCCTGGTTCATGAAAAAATGTGTAAAAAGGGTTTTCAGGAAAAATTTGTGTAACACTGGTTCTTTAAATAAATTTGGGTAAAAATGGTTCATGAAAAATTGGGTGTAACCCGGTTAATGATAAATTGTTTAACACTGGTTCTTGATAAATTGTAACACGGGTTTTCTTGATAAAATTTGTGTAACCGGGGTTCATGAAAAATTTTGTGTAACACGGGTTTCTTGAAAATTGTGTAACACTGGTTCATGATAAATTGTTTTTAACACGGGTTTTCTTTTTTTAAATTGTGCAAAACACGGTTCATGTTGGGGTAACACTGGTTCATGAAAAATTTGGGAACACTGGTTCATGAAAAATTATGTAAACGGGTTAAATGAAAAAATTGTGTAACCTTTTTTAAAGAAAAATTTTGGTGTAACACTGGTTCATGTTAAATTATGTAACACGGGTTCATGATAAATTGGAAACCGGGGTTCTTGAAAATTTTAACACTGGTTCATGATAAATTTTTAAGGAACGGGTTCATGATTGTGTAACATTTGGTTTAAATTGATAAATTTTTAAACCACGGGTTCATGATAAATTGTGAAACACGGTTCATGAAAATTGTTTTTAAAACTGGTTCATAAATAAATTGTGTAAAAATGGTTTATGATAAATTGTGTAAAACGGGTTTTCATGAAAATTGTGTAACACTGGTTCATGATAAATTATTTTAACACTGGTTCTTGAAAATTTTTTTTTGCGGGGGTTTTCCAGGGAAAAAATTGTGTAACCTGGTTCATGATAAATTGTGTAACCGGGTTTTCATGATAAATTGTGAAAACACTGGTTAAATGTTTTAAATTGTGTAACACTTTTTTTAAAAAAAATTTGGGTGTAACACTGGTTCAGGAAAAATTGTGTAACATTTTTTTCGGTTAAATTTTTTGAAAACCCACGGGTTTAATGATAAATTGGGGAAACATGGTTCATAAATAAATTGTGTAACAGGGTTTTCATGTTAAATTGTGTAACACTGGTTCATGATTGGGGTAACACTGGTTCATGAAAAATTGTGAAAAACACGGGTTCGAAAATTAGTAACACTGGTTCATAAAAAAATTTGTTTTAACACGGGTTTCCATGAAAAATTTTTGTTAAAAGGGTTTCATGATAAATTATGTAAAAATTTGGTTAAAGAAAAAATTGTGTAAAAATGGTTCTTTGATAAATTTGTAACACGGTTCTTGAAAAATTGTTTTAACACTGGTTCATGTTAAATTATGTAACACGGGTTTTCATGATAAATTTTTTAAACCCACTGGTTCATGATTTTTTGTAACCCGGGTTTCCTTAAAATTGTGAAACACGGGTTAAATTGAAAAATTTGTGTTACCTGGATTTTTACCTGGGGGAGAGTTTGGGGGGTTTTAAACCCCCCCCGGGGCCCCCGGTCTGTTGCCCAGGCCCCCCTGGGGGATCAGCGCCTGATAAACCGGGCTGTTGCTGCGGGCTGCACGAAAACCCAAATGTACGAGCCACACCCCGGGCTGTTTCGGGAACTGCCTTTTTGGGGTGCTTTAATGCCACTTGAAGACCCGGGGGTCTTTGGTAACCCCCCTTTTGTGGCGGGGGGGCAGTTGAACATTTCTCGGCCCCCTGAACTTTTTGTATGGTCTTTTTGTGCTAGTAACCCCCTGTTTTTCATTGGGGGGAGGGTTGAAAACGTCTCCCCAAGTTTTTTGCTTTTTTAAGTGAGGGGTTTTTCGTTTTGAAATGTTCGGTTACTAGTCCCTCAAAGGTTTTTTCCGGTTTAAAACATGTATCTCTCCCCCTGGGTTCCAGGGGAATACAGGTTTAGAAAAACCTCAAGCGCCCCCGAAATTGGGGTTTTTATTCCTTTTAGGGCCCCGGCCGTGAAATTTCTTTTTTACATTTTCTAGGGGGGGCATTTCACCTCCCTTGAAAGGGGGCTGTTAGATTTGCAGCAATATTCCAGCCTAGTTTAGAACAAGTGACCGGAAGAGTGCTTTAGGGGCTTGGCCCCCCTAGTTTTTAAGGTTCTCATTATCCTTCCTGTAAATTTTTTAGCAGTTGCAAATTGAAAAATTTTTTATGGCCCTTTTGAAGGTGAAAATCCCCCCGACATAATCATTTCCCGGGTCTTTAAACGGGGGGTTTTTCGCTCTTTTTTGGGGCCAGAATTGTTTTGTCCCTTGATAAAAGTTTTAAATTTTCCCCTAAATTTTTTACCATTTCTGGGGAAATTAAAATTTTCTCTTCTTTGGGAACTTCAAAATTTTTTCTGCAGCCCCTAAAAAGTTTTGGGTTTGATGCCCCGCCGGGAGCCTTGCATGTCTGCAATGGAAGACACTGCATGCAGATTCGGGTGTCATCTGCAAAGGAAGACACGGTGCTGTGGCTGGACATCCTTGTCTATGTCGGATATGAGGATGAGGAACAAGATGGGAGCTAGTACTGTGCCTTGTGGAACAGAGCTTTTCACCGTAGCTGCCTCGGACTTACTCTGTTGACGACTACTCTCTGTGTTCTGTTAGTGAGGAAATTATAGATCCATCGACCAACTTTTCCTGTTATTCCTTTAGCGCGCATTTTGTGCGCTATTACGCCATGGTCACACTTGTCGAAGGCTTTTGCAAAGTCTGTATATATTACATCTGCATTCTTTTTGTCTTCTAGTGCATTTAGGACCTTGTCGTAGTGATCCAGTAGTTGAGACAGACAGGAGCGACCTGTTCTAAACCCATGTTGCCCTGGGTTGTGTAACTGATGGGTTTTCTAGATGGGTGGTGATCTTGCTTCTTAGGACCCTTTCAAAGATTTTTATGATATGGGATGTTAGTGCTATTGGTCTGTTAGTTCTTTGCTGTTGCTTTACTGCCCCCTTTGTGGAGTGGGGCTATGTCTGTTGTTTTTAGTAACTGAGGGACGACCCCCGTGTCCATGCTCCCTCTCCATAGGATGGAAAAGGCTCGTGATAGGGGCTTCTTGCAGTTCTTGATGAACACAGAGTTCCATGAGTCTGGCCCTGGGGCAGAGTGCATGGGCATGTCATTTATCGCCTGTTCGAAGTCATTTGGCGTCAGGATAACATCGGATAGGCTTGTGTTAATCAAATTTTGTGGCTCTCTCATAAAAAAATTCATTTTGATCTTCGACTCCCCAGTTGGTTAGCGGCTTTCAAAATGAGTCATATTGGGACTTGAGTAGCTCACTCATTTCCTTGCTGTCATCTGTGTAGGGCCCCATCTTGTTTAAGTAGGGGCCCAATACTGGACGTTGTTCTCGATTTTGATTTGGCATAGGAGAAGAAATACTTTGGGTTTTTTTCGATTTCATTTTTGGCTTTTAGTTCTTCC